AATTAAAAACAAAAATTATAATATAAGCTCATTTTATAGATGGGTTTTCTTTTGTTTTGCTATGGTATATTTTCATCCTGTTTCCTTTCTTCTTAAAAGAACTGAGATGCACCAGGCCTCTCCAGAATAAGAAAATTCATTTCTACAACTGGAAATACCCCTCATTCTCAGTCAGCACTCATCATACAAGTGGTTACAGTTTTCAATAGTCTTGAGTCATATAATGAGCTCAGATTGTTCTTGGGACTGGCCTTCAGATTACACAAACAGAAACAGTGAGTATTGCCATGAGCTCCAGGAAGTGATTTTAAACATATCTCACCCTTTGTAGATTGTTTGTGATAAGGATTGCTTCATCCATGTTTGAACATCCTGTGTGTAAAATAAAGGTTCCAGGAAGAGATGGCCCTTCTCTGCCTGCACTGAACTAGAGAAAGGTTAGATCAAGAAGAATCGACCTAGACAGTAACACACATACGCAGGAAAGCAACGCAAGTCAACTCCCTGTATAGCTATCCTTATCTCAACTAGCAAAAACCCTTGGTCCTTCCTATTATTGCTTATACTCTCTCTTCAACAAAATTAGAGATAAGGGCAAAATAATTTCTGCCTGGTAGCGAGGGGGTGGGGGAGAGAGGGAGATGGTGAGGGGAGGGGGAAGAAATGACCCAAACATTGTATGCAAATATGAATTAAAAAAAAAAAAAAAAAGAACAGACCACAACAGCCAGAGTGCTGCTTCGGTCCTCTGCTTGGGAGGTCATCTTGCTTTTAAAACTATCCAGCTCACTTGAAACTTTTAAAAAGGCTCAACAATTACCAAAGAGATGTCACTACTCTTGCTAGAGTTGAAGTCTATGGTATAATAAAAATCTTATAATTAAAATTAATAAAAGACTCAAGATTCCTTTGTTAAAATCTAGTAGACCAGTAAAATGGGACTATAAATTCTTAGAAACACAGGACACATGCAACAGCTAAAATTGTACTTTAAAAAAATAACAGTGTGATTTAAGAAAACTCAGACCAGAGTCTTAAGTAAATTGTCAGAGGGAAGAAAAAGGTTGAGTCATGGCAAAAATAGATTGCAAAGAAAGTCAAAGTAATCAGAACAAAAGGTACCAAATCTCAGCTCTGGGACAAGCAATAAGACAGCAAAGAAAATAAAGGGCTGTGTGTACACGAGCATGTATATATAATACGTATATGTTCCAGAAAAGTGACACACAGCTCATTAAAGGATTCATAGTATCACCACTTTCTGTGCCCAAAGTTAACTTCATTAGGATCAGAGGAAAGTTAATGCTTAAACACTCCTTTGCACATCTGCTACTTCCATAATGTCTGTGCATTTGTCATAAATTAGGAGTGGAGAAGGGCAAAGAGCCAACTGTCAAAACAAACAGGCAATTCTGGATTCTGAGTTTCACATTATTTTCTCTGAGAATTGTGGAAGCTGTCTAACCCAACTGTGGCCCACCTAGTGCTGGCATGGAATAACCATGACAAGGATCTTGGCACAGCTCTGCCCTCAATGGCAAGGCACCTTGGCACAGGTCATGAGGAAACCTTGTCCCTTTGGTGCCCCAGGCCTAGTAAAGAGATAATGAGCTTTTAATATTGTTAATGTAGCTAGGGGTACTAAAAGAACACAAATACCAGCAATTATCTGGGGTAGGCACTAAGTTATGTCTTCTGTATTATTCATGGATGCCTGCTCTGCATATCAGACTTCCTCCCTGATTACTCTGTGCTCCTTACTGTCAATGCTGATATTTTGTACTGTCTGTACTCCACATAGTGTCTAGTCTGCAGTGAACTGGAAGATTAAGCCCATGGCTAGCCTTTTCTGTTTCTTTGCTTCAAAAGACCAGATCAGAGAAGGGACTCAGACAGGCTGGCCTACCTCTTTTTTTTTTTTTACTTTCCTGCTTCTTACCTCTACTCGGCTCAGCTCCATAGGACTAACATGTTCTATACCTTCTCCTCCTGTGTGTGGTGGGGTATGAGCGTAACAGCTGGTAGTTAGATACAGCTAGAGGTAAAGAGGATCTTGAACCTAAGCTGAACATTACACCTTGCCAGAAAGCTCCACACTAGCATTCTAAGCACTAGTCAAGCCATTAACGGAGTGAAGCTTTTTTATACTTCTTTCAATCTGGTCTTGACATCACCTCATCAGCATAAGAAGCTCGGTAGATTCTGCTAACAAATTTGTCTTTTAGCAATGACTTGAATGCTTTCAGAGAATCCTGGAGAGAGAAAAGACAGGTGGCTGCCTCTCCTTTTCCCGGACTGTATCAGATAGGTTTCTGTCAATTCTTTGTCCGTTTCTGTCTTGTTGAATTTCCAGTCTGCAACTTGGCCAGTGGTTGAGTTCCCTTCTAAGGTGTGATAGACTAATAAAACCTATTATTTATTTTTCTTTTATTCATATGTGCATACAATTTTTGGGTCATTTCTCCCCCCTTAATAAAACCTATTATTGATGGTATTTTTTCTTCTTAGATTTATCCTGACTCAGGCAAGCTCTTTCTTAAAAGGAAGAATCTCAAATTCAATGCCAGATTGTAGACTATTGGAGTTTACCTGAAAGTTTCATTTAGTTTGCTAAGAAAGTCTAATATAATTCCCTGTGTAGGGTAGCTGTTGTGAATCAGTTGGAAGTAGAAATTAAACAAATAGTTATTGATCCCCTGCTTGGTGCCAGTCACACTCTGGTTGCTAAACACTCATCAACAAATAACAACAAAATGTTCCTGCACTCAGAGACAAGGGCAGAAGACAGATAGTGAACACACAAAAAAAAAGAAAGATAAACACAGGTAGAAATAACAGCTAGAAAGAAAACAAATCTACACAGAGATATAGAGAGTAAGTAGGTGTAGTGAAGTACCGTGTAGATAGGCATGTTCTGAAAGTTCTAGGAGGGTCAGACATCTGAGCCGAGACTCAAAGATGAGAACCAACCTGCTGAGTGAAGGTAATGGCAAAGACTCTTACGGGCAAAAGAAAAGGACGCGAAAAAAAAACCAAAACTCTAAAGTAGCAATGAGCTTAAGATCTCTGTTCTTAAGGAACAGACAACAGGCATTGTCCATGGATAACAAAACACAAGAGAAAGAGTAGGAGATAATGTGGGAGAAGTAGGCTGGTATTGGATTATGGAGGACCACTTAAGGAATTTTAATTTATTATAAATGCAATGGAAAAGTCACAGTGGGTTTTCATCTAGGGAATAAGTTCATGCTGGCTGTTGAGGGGAGAGCAAGAGTGGTGAGAGGGAAACAGGAGACAGTGTAAGGAGCTGTGACAGCAGAATCTGTAAGAGCTAGTGTTGGCTTCCATCAAAGTGATCAGAGAGATGGGGAGAAATGGTCAGGTGTGGTCTTTGTTTTGGTGATGGGTCAACAGGATTGGCTTATGGGTGAAATATGCAGGAGGAAAGAGAAAGGGAGAGGAGTCAATATTTTTTGGTCATTAGCTGATATAGAAAATCAAATATTTGTGTTCTCTTAAATTTGATATGTCTATTAAAGTGAAGGTGTTGGATGTGGGAGTCTGTGTGAAGGAATCAGAGCTGACTGTGTAAAATTGTGGCCTATTAACAGATTCTCTGCCTAGATTCCAAGGCCAAAACACTGGCCATATCATCTTTTTAGCCTTCTTATTACTTAGCGGTTAGCAAAGAAAAATTTAATAATTGATAGAGATACAACTTTGTCTTCTATCCCAAATCATTACAGTAACTGTTAATCTTTGGACTTCCAACCTGACTTTTTTTAATCCTTCCAGAGACCTAATAAACTATTTCTGACATACTGTTTTCTAAGTCTCCTCACAGTATGTTCACCTCCAGCCTACTCAACTCCGCCATTTTAAACGCTTCTCACAATTTACCTCCTCCAGGAGCCTTCTGAGACACACTACCCTGTCTCATGGTAATTTCATTTGTTTCCTCATCACACAGACAGGCATGCCCCAAAATGAAGATAACTTGAATTTTAAATAAAGTTTTGAATTCAATTGTTTACAGGATCAATTCACACACAGGAATGTTATGCATTATAGCTCTTGCTTGATAATCCAACAGCAATTAAAGTAAATACTGGAAAGCATTTTAGAGGGTGGAGATCAGCACCTGAAGCTCCAAGGGGATGGGGACAGTCTGAAACCTTCTGCCACAACAGAAAGATAAGTTTCCAAGGACAGGAATCCTATCTACAGTGAGATAGAAGAGGAACTGTAGTTCTTCCCAAATACAACTTTCAGAACCATCTGATTTCCCTGACTTTGTTTCCAATACTGTTATGGGAAACTTAAACTAGCAATTGGAGTATATATTTCTTTTGCACTCTATGAGGATGGTCATTTTTCACTAGGGAGGAAAGCTATAGTTTATAAATATAACTCTTACCTAGCATTGGAAGGCTGGGGGCTCTTTGTAGTAAAAATAACAGGTGCTAAATATAATAGAGAAAGGCATCTTTGTAAATTTTGCATGGAAGCTTATAAGGACCCTGTGTTACATGGCATAAGGAAGGCTAAATTAGACTAAAGTGAATGGACAAAGCTTTGTTGAGGAAAAAAATTTAGGGAGCAAATGATTCCTAAACAGCATTAGCTTGCTCATTATTTTGACAGTTCAGTGAAAATCTGTTCATAGAACAAGAAATGAAGGCAGTATCTATCTATCTGTCACCTATCTATTGATCTACCTATTTACCTACCTACCTACCAAGTAATCTAATGGTCAAAACTGGTATTATTAATTTGCTATAGGGTATTTGGAGAAAATTTTCTAGGGTTTTTTTGGTGCATTATATTATCCCATTAATTGCCAATCTGCAGTTGTCAACTCTCAAAGAAAGATCTTTCATTTAAAAATATTGGGGACTATCAGTGGTATATTTGCACAACCATTTTAGTAAATAGTTGGAATCAAATCTTAAATTTATATAGTATTTTTATTGAAATGATAAAGAGGAGAATGTTCTTACCAGTTGCCTTTTTGACTTATAAATTGCTGCACTGCATAGCCAAACTGTTCATTTGAAGGACCGGAAAATATTTTTGCATCTGGGAGGCCAACATTGTATGCCAAACAGCAATTTAAAATACCTATAAGAAAAATGAAAGCATGGTCCATGTTTATAATTTTTTAATGTAAGTATACAATATAAATGTTAAAGACCACTTTTAAAAACTTATTTGATCCAATAATTATTCTTCTCATCAGTTTTCAAAAGTAACAGAATCTGCATCTAAGAAACTTATTTGGAGCCCTGGAAGCACACCAAATACTTTAGTATTATTGTCTTTGTTTTTCAGAGATTTCTGAGGTTAGGAGGTAAGTGTATCTCACAGCCAGAGAATGGTAAGGGTAAGGGCAGGATTCAAACACAAGACTAGCTTATTCAACATCCTGAACTCTTAAGCCAGTATATTATCTCTAGGGATTCTTAAGTAATTTGAGTTCTATTTATCCTTTCTAACACAATAAGACTCTAAGCTGTCCACATGCAGGATCTGACAGCTTTCTATTTCTTCTGAATACCTTGTGGATCCTGACATAGTCTCTATATGAAATGTCTGTTGAAAAAGCAGTGCTTATTTTATCAAAGGAGGGATAAAAATCACAGCTCCTTGAAAACTGCATCAGAAAAGACCATTTTGGAGGATAAAAGAGTTGGGAGAGGTATCATATCTTTTTATTCTAGTAGGAACTGTCAAAAGTAGTTTTGCTCTTTCTTAATGATCAAGAAATAACAATCATTTAAAAAAACAGAACAAAGACCAAGGAAGACAGCACACTGATAAACTGTTTTGAAAATTCTTGTTTCTGATGAAAAAAGAAAGAAGTGAAAGAGTAAGGTGAATTATATTTCCTCTCTGACAGCATTAATGTTGGGAGTCCTTTCTGTAGGAAGAAGGTTATGTGGGTATGCATGCTTTCTATGGAGGTGGGAATGTAGTTCAGGATCAGATTTATCTGTGGAGACACCAAAGACAGAGAACACTCTTTAAAATCCACACCAAACTTCCATTAACATGTGTTTTGCAAAGGAATATCCTACTTTGTGGCAACATTGAAAGTGCATAGCATTTCATAAGTCTATTGTTACAGGAATAGAAAGGCTGGATGAAAATAACTTGCTCTTCCACTGGGCCTCTGAACTTCTGGGTGCAGATTCTGTAGAGTCCTCCAAAGGAAAAATGAAGTCAATGATGAAACTTTGCAGACTTAAATAGTCAATATGCCAAAAATCACTATACTGGGGATTTGCTTACTCAGGAAAGCTCAGCTCATTATTTCTTGGAAATATGTGCTGCCAGGAAAAGAAGTACAAATATTAATTTTTAAATACTCTGTAGAAAAGTTTACACATCTTGACATTTGCAAATTTTATCCTTAACATGTATTTTCATAAGCGCTACTGCTTTTTGTTTTTGAGGAAAAAAAATGCAAGAGCAAATGACATAGCAAATTAAGCATGAAGTCAAAAGCAGCATTCAGAATATTCTACTTGATTGTACAGAACTCAACAAATACTATTTCAATATTTACCAATTGCCAAATATACTTAGTCAAAGCATGGGGAGATGATGCCATCTGCTTCCACTTTACAACATCTACTGCTAGAAAGAACATTTGTGACTATATCCATGACTTCATTTTCTCTTCATTAACTGACCATGGAAAACCATGTACTGTCCTGAAATAATGATGGAGTTCATTTCATTGTTTAGCAGAGAAGTTTTAATATATGCACATACTCCATATATAGTCTTGCCTTGCTTAATGACAAGCACACATTTTGAGAAATGTGTTATTAATTTTTTTGTTGTGTAAACAATCTATAGTACAAGAACACGAACTAAGATGGATTTACGACATCCCTGGGTGATATAATCTTATGGAACCACCATCATATATGTGGCTCGTTGTTAACTGAAATGTTAAGCACAAATATGCAGTGTGTAGGTATTATTATATGTGCATATAAAATTTATTATCTATGTACAAATGAGGAAACAAGTTCATTTTACCATCTAGAAATCTAATTTTATTACATATTTAGTGTATATATACTTGTATAAAATGAATTTATGCACACATATGTTTATATACACATATACAATACTATTAATAGTGTAGGTGAATTTTTTTATCATTCTACTCAAAATGCCCCAAGATCTTGCCATTGCACTGAAAATAAAATCCAATTTCTTCACCAAAGTTTCAAAGATCCTTCATGACCTGGTGCTCATGTATCTTTTGACCTCACTTCTCTCTACTCTCCTTGCTTCACTGTGTTTTAGCCATGTGACTTTCTTTTGGTCCCATGAACTTATTTATGGTTTTTGCTCTCAACTCAGCATTTAGGTCAATATCGTACTCCATCACTGACCACTGTCATAACAATTATTATCCCATTTATCTATATTGCATTATGTCTGTCTCTGCCTACTAAATTGAAAGCTTCTTGAGACACCAGACCTTGCTTCTTTTATTCACTCTTATTTATTTTCTCATCACCTAGGATAATATTTATAGAATAGAATACATTTTAATTAATATATATTCTTCAATGATGATTTGGAATACAAAGAAAATTAGACAGGAAAATGATCACTCAGAGTTCTATCATTCTACTCTTAGGTGCAGTTAATTTGAATATATTTTTTCCCATACTTTTCCCTCTATAGTATAATAGATATACCAATTTGTATCCTGCCATTTCTCAATGCTTGTACCTTCTTGCCAATGAAGACAGAATCCTCCTGGGTCACTTGATTCCCACAATAACCTTGTACAACAGCAAAACCTAGTTATTATTACCAATTTACAAATAAGGAACATAGAATTCATGAAAGCTACCCATCTTGCTTGCCCAATGTCCCACAGTTGGTGGCTGAGCGCTGAGTCTTGGTTTGGCTTATTTTCTCCAAACTTTTTGTTTAGAAATTCTGTTCATAAATGGTATGCTCATTTTTTTTCACAAAATGTCATTATTCATCACTATTCCTTCGTTCCACTTATCCTAAATTTCTTATTTCCTGCTATTTAAATCCTTCCCTCAAGACCATGCCTCTTTTGATACATCTGGACAATTCTGATTCATATTTCTCTTTAAAAATATATTTGCAATTCAATATCTATGTCATCATTTCATACCATTAGCATATGGTATCTATTCAGTTCATATAAATTTAATATTTTTATATAAAGTATTATTTCGAACTCAATGCTCATTTCTTCTTTGCAATCTCAATGCTTATCATAATATGTTTCTATGTCTGTCTCCACAGTCTAACTGGACCATATGAAGATTAGGAGCTATATTTGGTTCATTTTGTTTCCTCCCTCCCAATCATTCCTGTATGTCTATATATTCTTAAAAAGAGCATCATTCAGAAAGCATTTATCAGCTCCTTTGTGCCAGAAAGTTTTCCACATCTTGATGATACATAAAATGAACAAAACAGAAAATATAACTGCTTTTTGAGTTTCCATTCTGCTCTTTTGGCTAACCCCCAAATTATAATGTGGTAACTGTAAAAATTCAGAGAGGACACAAATCCCTGGGTCAAATGTTGAGAAAAGGATAAACCTGTTTGAAGGCTTCACAAGTAGGTGGCAATTAATCTGGATCTTGAAAGATGAGTTGGAATTCACTACAGTAAGAGGAAGGTGAAGCTCATTCCGGGCACAAGAAACATCATGTTCAGCAGGCACAGAAGTGTCAAAGAGCACCAGAATGCTGCAAGGTTTGGCCCAGAAAGCCACTGATGGCATCATTAACATAAACATTTCCAGTTCTATGTTAGATGTAGGGAGCATCAAACAGACTAGAGCTTTGCCATGCCAGGAGCATCTTATTACCCAGACTGTAAGTCTTCCTTCTCTGTCCTCATGTGAATGCCGGTGAATTTAATAATGGCATAGTACACTCAAAATATTTATCAAAGGTAATGTTCTTATACATTTGTTGACAGTAACCAAGCCAAAATCTTTCAGTAAGTCTCACCAAAACTCACTGAAAATATAAGCATTGTATCTTCTACAGGATTAACTAGTTCTACTTTCACAATGAAAAGGGGATAGATACTATTTCATCTTTCATTTTAACCTGGCTCGTTGCCATTTTAATATCTGTATGTAAACCAGATAGTTAAGAAAAAATAACTTAAGCAAATTTCTTTACTTATTTAAAAAATTTATAGAAACTCTTTCCCTCAGAATTTCTAACCATATCTGAAATAGGTTTTTGTTTGTGTGCTTCTTTGTTTAGAAATTATCATCATTTAAGAATCAGTTTCAGAAAACATGGAATTTATTCTCTCACTTTATTCTGGTATCAAATTTTACATTGTTAGGAAATCTAAAATAGAAACTTATGGTTTGTGACTAGATAAAGTTAACTTCATTTTGTTCTCCAGATGCAGTAAAGCTCAGAAAAGAAAAAAGTTTGAAAGCAGAAGCAGAAATATATAGATGTATAAAGCAAAGCATGTGCTCCAATATTCAATAACAAAAATTTAGTAAGAACATACATTGACTTCCATAATATTATTTTCAGAGCTTAAGGACACAATTTATAGTAATGACTGGCAGAAAGAGGACCTGATCCATTGACCAAAAGCAACCTTAAGCCTATCTTTCTATTTACATTGGAAGATCAGTGGGGCAAGCTTTCCACAGAATAGGTTCATTTGCAGAAGGTTTCAATAAGAAATTCAGGTTAAGAAAAGAGAATCAAGACCAAAACTGAGAGGTGGATTTAGGAAGAGCAAGGTGGTTTTAATATCAGACTTGCAGATTTTACTCTATCTGGCCTATTTCTGCAGAGGTATGCTGGCATTTTAGGAGGAAAAAATATCTCCTGTAAGTAGTGAACAAAAATCTAAAAACTATAAGGCCCAGAATTCTATGAACTGTGAGCATGGGGTGTCACTGCTTTAAGGAGGTAGTGTGCAGTCCTCGCGTGCCTGAGGAGGCTGTAAAAACATTGACAGGATCAAGGCAGAACTGCCCCCTGTGCATCAAGACTTCGGTCTAAGGGCAGAGAAAAGAGAACGGTGCAGCTGTGACCAGCACAGAGGGGACACTATTCGGA